TGTTTTGCGGTAGATCGTTGTTTCCAACTTTCTTGATGGCGTTTTGATGATCAAAGTGTTCAAAAAGAAGAGTTGTTTAGTGTTCATCGTCTCCATTTTGAATGTGATGCCATCGAATGTGTTACTGGTGGTGTTGTGTGTTCTTTCTATTTCCGACATATTCAAGATGACGTGTCATCAGCTTGTGGGCATGATTATTGGTAGTAACTCCTTCTGAAGCTTCGGCATTACGGCTTCGGCGATGAATCCAGAAACCGATGGTCCCATTGGCTTTCCTTCCAGTTGTTCGTAGATTTCATCCTCGAATTTGAAGTACGTCTGCATGGATAGTTCCACGAGTTCGCAAATGTCACCTGGTTCCATTGGTTGGTTTTATGGGTGCTCCGTTATTAATTCCCGCAACGTGGGTCTTGCCAAGTTCAAGTTGATCGAAGTGAACGAAGCAGTGACGCTAAAGAAGTCGGAATTAGAAAGAATGCAACATCACTAGTAACAAAATTTGTAACGTCGAATGCACATTGAAGATTGAGAAGGATAATCAACCGGCATTTATGGAGATTTTGAACAAGAGAAGGCCACAAGGAAAGTTGCAGAAAACGATGTAGCGCAAAGCAACGCATACTGGTGGCCAGGTGATAACGTCACCGAATTATCACCCCGTGGATGTGAGGTCGAATCCCACCACCACTGCCTGATTTTCCCCATTGTGTGTTGAATGGCAGGCCTTTGATTGGCCGCTTCCCCCTTCCTGGAAAATTGCATCTTTGTATATTCAATAAAAAGGAAAAAAAGGAAAAAAATCATCCATACAGCCACAAACCATAGTATCTTGGGGACCCAATCGCATGAATCCTAATTTACTGGGGCACTGATATGCTCAAGAAGAAAGACCCCTCTTCAGGTTGTTTCCTCACGACAGATACATCCGTAACTTCATCAGAAGAACTCTGATTCATAGAAGGAAATAAAAAACATACGGAGAACCAGGAACAGGAATACATCTGCGTACATGTAAATCGTTCCAGAAATGACAGCAAGACTACTGAGATCATACGGGATTCAAGTAGGACACAAACCAACCACCTGTTTAGCTAGACGTCTAACCAAACCAAAGGAGATCACAATACAGGGTTGTTACGTTCCCGGATCGCCCAGAGTGAGAGGAAGAACAAAGACCGTCTGACCGTCAGATCCGTATGTGAATGCGTCAAGCACTATACCATTTGGCAAGAGCGAAAATCTGAACATTATAAAAGGTCAAGGTCAGTGACACTATTTGTTCACCTACTTACCATTGGCACCCCTAACACCCCCCGCAAGTTCTCGAGCCTCTTATGATTTCAATTGTAGGTTTACCTTGAGTCGCTATGTCAAACGTATATTACGATGAGGATATCTAGATACTGGCAGGTGACCATTTCGTTGAGTAACCAAATCCAGCGTTTGCGGTTGGGTATTGTGGTCCTGTGGTGTGTTGGAACATCGTCTAACCACTGACATGTATGATCATCAGGAATGATACCTTCGCACTCATCTGGATTGTACTTTCTTTGTAGCTGATTTGCGTGTCTGATCCACTGTTCTGTTCCTACTTGTAGTTTGTACACAAATTGTTTTTTCCTGCTACAGTTCCTGGAGTCCAGGTTTGACGATGTGTTCTCAAGTCTTTTGCATACATTTTGTGGCCAATATTGAATCCATGTTTTGGTTGTGGCTTCTGAACTTCCATTAGTGCCATATACTATCGTTTGCGGGTAGTTTAGGGAGCATCATTTTGTATTTTCTCCCTTTTTCTTCCCCAACAAGCATTCACTAGGTGATGCAGCACTTGGCACGTTTTCGTTTGGAGTGATTCTGTAGTTCACCAAAAATAGGTCAATAATACTGTCTAACTGCTGGTTCTCCGGATATTTTCGTATGTCTTTTCAAAGTATCTACAAATGGCTCAACCTGGCCGTTTGACTGTGTGTGATACAGCGGGGTTCGTATGTGTACAATGCCATAAACAGATAAAAATAATTCGGAAAACTCGTGGGATGTAAACTGGGCACCTTTATCTAAAACGTGGTCCTTCGGGAAACCCAACCAACAAAATTAGCTTCTAAGAAAGCTGATTGTCGACTGGCTATTAGGGTGTTTTACAATGCCAATTTCTGGCTACTTGGATTTAGAATCAACGGCAAGCAACAAATAGGCGTCACGAATCGGCCCAGCGAAATCAATATGGACATGGGTCCATTGTTTTCGCGCAAACAGCCAAAATTGCGGTTCAACTTGTGGGAATGATTTCAATGTCATTGAGCATTGGCTACATTCTCTAACCAGCTCTTGAATGTCCTGATCCATAAAAGGCCAATAAACATAACAACGCTTGAGGGATTTCATCTTGTTTAGCCCCGGATATGCATCATGGAATTGTTTCAATACATCCGTTTTCAGTGATGTTGGGATGACTATTCTCTCTCCAAAAAGAAGACAGTCATTTATAAATGACAGAGAATCGCGTCGTGTGAAAAACTCTCGAATTGACGGTTCAGAAATTCTCTTTGGTCATCCATAGTTCATGAAGTTCTTACTATCGTTGATAGCCTTGTCAGTATTGGTGGCTTTCTTGGTTACGTCTGCAGTTATTCTGAAACAGGAAATAGCATTTATGAGCACTTATTGAACTTCTTTTTCAACATCAACCGAAGCAACAACCCGGTTCTTCGTCGGATTTTTTCTGTGAAGCTATTAAACGGGACAATGTATCAGCATGCCCAATCTCTAAGGAGGATATATGTTAAATCTTAAAATTATATCCCGGTGAAATCATTGCCCACCTTTGTAGTCTGTTAACGGTGTGTACACGTATACCCTTTTTGTTGTTAAAAATGGCCAGAAGCTGCTTGTGATCGGTTTGGAGAATAAACTTTCGTCCATGGATTATTTTGTGAAATTTGTGTCCGTAAAAACAATCGCCAAAGCCTCTTTCTCAATTTGACTGTAATGGCGTTCGGCAGGTGTTAATAATCGGGAGGCGTGTGAGACAGCTCTCTGGGAGCCGTCCGCTAACCGATGTACGATGATTGCTCCTATGCCATAATCCGAAGCATCCGCTGCTACAATAATGCCAAGCGATGGGTTGTAATGTGTCAACAATAAAGGGGATAGCAAAATCTTTTTGACTGATTCAAAAGCATGTTGATATTCACTGTTTCAATTCCACCTGGTTAAAGGAAAAATAAATTGTTTAAGGGGACTCGCAATATGTACATATCAGAAACAAACTGATTGTAACAGTTGATCATGCCGAAAAATGACTGATGCATATGAATGTCAGTGGGTATTGGCATGTCACAAATTGGTTTAACTTTTGGGTCAGGCGTCAGCAATAAATTCTGATTACTTGAAAGAGTTAGAAAAGAAAGAACATTTTTCTGTTTGGATATGAAACCCAAATTGTTTTATGCGAGTTAATACCTGACTTAGATGGTGGAAATGTTCATGAGCCTCGGTGCTAACAAGGATAATGTCGTCCATATAAGCGGCGACAAAGGGTAATCCAGCTAACATAGTGTCCATTATTTGCTTAAATATAGCAAGTGCATATTTAGCATCAAAGGATAATCTGTTGTAGCGATACAGCCCTTTATGAGTGTGAGGGTTTTCAAGAGCTTTTGTACACAATACTTTTCTAATTTCATTATCTTTCTTTGCCTATCTCTTTTTTCTCTTTTATGAACTCAACATTTAACAGTTGTTTTACCGGCCTCCTCATTACCCGCTCGGTATCTTTGCGGTCACGCTCCGTGATTTTCTCTATTGTTTGTCGTTCTGTAACTGGAACCTAGGGTGGTTTCGTAAGTCGTGAATATGTATTGATGTATGTCTATAATAGAAACGAAATTTCAACTGTCGTTCAATTGTTTTCCTAAGTGCTGGAAATTTGGTCAGTCGAAGTCGAGACATTGCGATTCGTATTGAACATTGTTTGTATTGCCGTTACGCTGAGTGATTGTGATCAATAAATTCTTTGATTCCTCGTCGAATTCAACTTGTAAATGAGCTTCGGAAAAGTCGATCTTTAAAAATATGCTTTCGCCGTTCATTTTGGCGAACAGATCGTCGGGCACAGAAAGATGATACTGATGTATCTCCGATGAATCATTTAAACCTTTTAAAAGTCTGCTTAGATGCCAAGCGTACCGTTGGATTTCTTCACAGTCACTATTGGTGAATTTTGAATAGTTTACTGAACTTGTGACCCCAGCTATTTACAGCCGATTTAACTCATTACTGACCTGGTCCACCGCGGCATTTGTAACTGACCTCTTTGGCCTGAATACGGCTTTCGCTTTCTGTTTGAGATACAACGTCGCTTTGGCCTTAAGGCATAATCCCAAACTTGGAGAAAACTGTGCTGTGTTCCGTCTGCAATCGGGTGATGAGGTGAGATACATTCACATTTTATCTTGTGGACCGATGTTCGGGTCTTTCAGATCAAAAAAACGTAATGGATGTTTTTGGTGCTTGAATGACAAAATTCGTTCACAGGAATATCCCAAAAATCCAAATTATCAACATCCTGAATGCCAATCAAATTGCGTGACCAGCTAATGGCAACATAAGCCGTGGAGGTAAATTTCGTGCCACGAAAATTGCATACACATTTGAATATTTCAGCGATAACCATTTGTTTGCGCGAAGCGTTATAGGCTGAATTATTTGTTTGGAGAGCTGGACAGCCTAGGACTTCCCATGAATGGCGTGTCAAAATAGTTACATCTGACGCCGAGTCAAACTGAAAAATTAACGGGATACTATTAACAACGGTAGACATAAATTTTGGTCTAGAGGAAAATTCTGTAGTGGCAGAGGGAACAATACCAGAGTTATATAATAACTCTGAGTGACTCTCTGAAGGTTTGCTATGTAATCCATTTTGTCTGCATGATGGCTGCTTGTAATGATAACAGTTTGTGTCCTTTTTTACCACAAACATGACAGATTCGATAGGTTTATGGACCGTATTTCACAAAATGCCAGTCACCACATTTCCAGCGAGCTGTGGACGGTCTAGACTTGGCCTTCGTTGGTGTATTACATGCTTTCCGTTTCTTCGGTGAAACTTGTAAGTGATTCACGTTATTGTATTCCGAATCTTTCGCAATCAATGCGGAGTCCATTTCTATGTTTTGGATCCGTTGGCATTCATCTGTTATGTTGTGCAGAGTCAGGTCCGGGGAATTTTCGGTTTGCGACAGCGTACGATTGCGCAATTCTGCATCAGCGGATGACTGTAACCCGCTGACGAATAGCAAACATTTGAACCAGTCCGTTGAGAGATCCTTCAGTTTGAACCGATCAGCCTTCAGGTTGATTCTCCCTGCATATATCACAAAATCTTCTGACTGTGTTTTCTTGACTTGTAGGCACTGATATCCTGTATGAAATAATGAAGCACGAGCACTGAATATTTGGGTAGGGTATTTCACTGGTTCTAAAAACTGTATGTCCGTTGGTTTATGAGGTAACATATCGTTGGTATACCATTGATGTTCAACGGACCAATGTTGCTCATGAGCAGTTTTACAATCCACGGTGAATATATTTCCAGATCTTATATACCATGATTGGAACGTCAATTCTGGATCCGCGTCATACGTGAATTCTGCATTTGCATTGGCGAGGTTGTCACTGGTAGACCTGCACTTCTTGACTGGGGCGATGAAGATTGTTCCATCTTTTTGGCCAACGATTCGATGAGCTTGTTTTGTGCATGAAGCATTTGCACAAACATTTCCATTTGGTCTGACACGATGTTGTTTTGACTTGAACGAGTGGGTTTGTTCCCGTCACCAATTGTTTAATTCCTGGATAGCCCAGAGCGAGAGGAAGAAGAAAGACCGTCAGATCCATGTATGGTCGAGTGAATGCGTCAAGCGCTAAACCACATGGCAAGAGCGACAATCATAACATCATAAAAGGTCAAGGTCAATGGCGCTATTTGTTCACCTACTGACCATTGGCACCCCTAACAAGAATAACATAAGCAATGTTATCTACAAAATTAGCTGCCAGAACACCCCAAACACTACGTCAGACAAACGGGAAGAAAGCTGTCACGAAGGTCACGAAAGTCATCAGTTTTACTTTGAATCAGTGACAAATAAGAACGAAGCCCGGGCAAAATCCGCCAAAGAATTTTCCAAGGCTTGCCACTCCTCAGTGAATGCAATAAACGCGCACAATGAACTGGATCAGATCTACACGCCAATGCAACCAAAGGATCAAA